TTGACTGCAAATTGAGTTACTGGCTTGGATGTTTTGCACAAATCATTTCAGACAGCCTTGGACATCAGACAGTCGGTGTTTGGCGGCAAAAACATCCATGTAGCTACAGCCCATGAAGATCTGGCGTACTCTTCTTACGTTCACCAGTACAGTTCGGGAAAATTTGATAATGCACTGTGAGTACTGTATTCATTTAGGGTCCAAGTGATTTTGTTTCTTTATTTCAGAGTCTTATTTCAATGTTAAAAAAGGTATGTTTTGCTGAGAATAGTAAATTTCAGAATTCATAATTTCTCTTTGTCCTACATATTTTCCCTGTTTTACTTTCTAAATAAGGAGTTATAAAAATACTCGGCCGCCATTTGTTTTTTTTTAGATTTTGAGACAGGTAGTCCTCGACTTACAACTAGTCTTTTTAGCAACCATTCAAAGTTATAACGGCATAGAAAAAAATGACTTACAGCTGGCACTCACACTTACAAATATCCCCACAGTCACATGATCAAAATATGGGCACTTGGCAACTGGCATGTACTTACGACAGCTGCAGCACTCCTGGGCCGTGTCATTGCCGTTTGTGGCCATCCCAGCCAGTTTCCAACAAACGAAGCCAAAGGGAGAAGCTGGATTGACTTAACGACTGCACGATTCACATAACCCCTGCACTGATTTGCTTAACAACCATGGCAGAAAGGTCGTAAACTCAGGCCTGACTCACTTAACAGTTGCCTTGTTGAGCAGTGGAAATTCTCGTCCCAATTGTGGTCCTAAATTGAGGACTACCTGCAAAACAGAATCGAGCTGTCCACGTTTTAAAATAAAATATCTAAACTTTTTTTTGGGGGGGGGTACGCCACACTTCAAATAACAAGATTTGGCACCTCCTCTGGAGAGGGGGGTGCAGGGCTCTGCTCTCTTACCCTTCTTTTTTCAACATCTACATCACGTTTCCATGCCCCGGAGATGCAACCATCCCACTTCAACCAGCCGCCTGAGGTCCCACGTGGCCGGATACATCCCGGCACAGCTGGTTCCCCCCCCCCCCCGGTTCCGTCCCTCCTGGCCTTGCATGCTTTACTTTTCCCAGGCATGACCCACTACATCGCCTCCTCGGCTGTCGGCCAGCTGTCCAGCTCAGAGGCGGCTTCTCTGAACTGCTGGCAGTGGGCTGTGGAGCCCCAGAGTGCGCCGGTCGAGGCTGCTGACAGACACCGTCGGCCCCACATGCGCTCACTGGCCGGCCGATGGTGTCAAGCAGCAGCTGCCCCGGCCCCTGCTTCGCCTTGCCCCGCGGCAATGGTACCCCCACCCTGCCTCGCCTCGCCTCACCCTGCAGGACGAGGCTCCTGCCCACCGCCCCACCTGCCAGAGACCCTGGATCTCCCCCTGCCTGCCCCCCATAGGCATCCCTCTCCATGAGCAACATCAAAGTGACCACACCCACGCAGTTTGCCATGACCACCCCAGTGGGCCACATTCCACCTGGCACCCGGCGACAAATAAGTGGGTTTTGGGTTGCAGTTTGGGCACTCGGTCTCTAAAAGGTTCGCCGTCCCTGGCATAGTGCAGTGTTTCTCAACCTTTGCTGATTTAAGACGGGTGGACTTCAACTCCCAGAATTCTGGGAACTGAAGCCCACCCATCTTAAAGCTGCCAAGGTTGAGAAACACTGGCCTAGTGAGTGAAAGGAACGGGAGAGGAGAGGAAAGGCTGTGTTTTCCACCATCCAGACCTATTCCTTGTTTCAAGTGGGAAAGTTGTGGCTTTTCACCAAGTCACACTGATGGGGCTGGCAAAGTTCCAGGAGCTCAAGTGTTCCTCTTGCTTGTCTTTGATCTTTAGATTCCATGCAGAACGTGCGATTGGCATCATCACCCACATTCTCCCAGAAGATCACCTGCTCCTCGCCTCTTCCAAAAGAGTTAAAGGTATTACCTGCCAGCTGGGTTTAGCTGCCATGGGAAGGAAACAGAAATGGCTACTGATGGCTTTAGAGAGAATTCAGCGCTCTGAGGAAACAGTGATAATTGAGATAAGAAAGACGCCTTTGTGAGTTCCTTGACAATGAGAGCTAGTTTGATCTAGTGCACGGGTCTTCCAACTTGGCCCTTTTATGACTTGTGGACTTCAACTCCCAGAATTCGCGTGCCTGGCTGAGGAATTCTGGGAGTTCAAGTCCACAAGTCATAAAAGGACCAAGTTTGAAGACCCCTGGTCTAGTGGTTAAGGCAATAGGCATGAAACCGAGAGACCGTGAATTCTAACCTCATCTTAGACACGAAAACTGGGAGGTGGTGAGTTCTAGCCCTGCCTTAGACATGAAAGTCAGCTGGGTGACCTTGGGCCAATCACCAAGAGACAGTGAGTTCTAGTCCCGCCTTAGACATGAAAGTCAGCTGGGTGACCTTGGGCCAATCACCAAGAGACAGTGAGTTCTAACCCCGCCGTAGGCATGAAAGCTGACTGGGTGACTTTGGGCCAATCACCAAGAGACAGTGAGTTCTAATCCCGCCTTAGACATGAAATCCAACTGGGTGACCTTGGGCCAATCACCAAGAGACAGTGAGTTCTAATCCCGCCTTAGGCATGAAAGACAACTGGGTGACTTTAGGCCAATCACCAAGAGGCCGTGAGTTCTAACCCCGCCTTAGGCATGAAAGACAACTGGGTGACCTTGGGCCAATCACCAAGAGACAGTGAGTTCTAACCCTGCCTTAGGCATGAAAGCTGACTGGGTAACATTGGGCCAGTCACTCTCAGCCCAACCCACTTCACAGGCTTGTTGTGGGGAAATAGAAGGATGAAGGAGTGTGTATGTTTGCTGCCTTGCGTTACTTAATACTTATAAAGTAATAAAGGTGGGATACAAATAAATAAATGTGTCTTGGGAAGACCAGAACTGGACCCAAGGAGTGCCTGCTAAAAGGGCTGATTGTTTGAAGGCCTGTTAACATAGTTGAGGGGTAGTTAAGGAAAACATCTGGAAAGAGAGAGAGAGATGGCTTAAAGCATTAACTTGAAGTTACGGGACAGCGAGATGGCTTGTAGATAACTTCCAAATCCTGTCTGCCAGGAATAGGAAGCACCCAGCCTTGTACCACATTCATTTCCTTATAAAGTATTTTTAACGATTCCTGAGAAATCTGTCGGAATAGGTTGGCACCCTTAAAGCGGCATCCTTTTCCCCCAGAACCAGAATCGTATCTCCGTAAGGGCCCAGCTCTCCCCAGACTGAATTTCTCCAGATAATTTCAAAATTTCCTGTTACGATCGCTGGTTAGATAATAAGCCATAGGATTTTCTTCAGACCTTCTAAAGAAAATGTATTATGTATCTGATAGCCCCCCCCCCAGAGTCACCTTATAGGAGACGTGGGCAGCATAGAAATTGAGTAAATAATACATAGCTGAGACCATCAGCCATCAAAAGAACAACCAGTGCAACTCTCCTATCAGTGCTTTCTTATATTATACATTACAGGTAGTCCTCAACTTAAAACCATTCGTTTAGTGGCGGTTTGAAGCTACAGCGGCACTGAAAAAGGGACTTACCACTGGTTTTTTTGCACTTAGGACCGTTGCAGCATCCCCAGGGTCACGTGATCAAAATTCAGACGCTTGTCGACTGACTCGTATTTACGACGGTCGCAGTGTCCTGGAGTCATGTGATCCCCTTTTGCGACCTGACCAGCATAGTCAATAGGATTGACTTTACAGCCATGTGTTACTAACTTAACAACTGTAGCGATTCCCTTAGCAACTGTGACAAGAAAGGCCGTGAAAATGAGGCAAAACTCATTTAACAACTGCCTCATTTAGCAACAGAAATGTTGGGCTCACTTGTGGTTCTAAGTCGAGGACCTTGTAATAATGCAGTTATCTGCGCAAAATATTCAGAGGGGAATCATCTCCGAAGTCTTCCTAACTGCCTGCCAGGAAGCAATCTGCGGGTTTGCCCGTCATTTTGAAATCATTTACAGGTAGTCCTCAACTTAGCGACCACAATGGAGCCCAATGTTGCTAAGCGAGACAGTTGTGAGGTGAGTTTTGTCCCATTTTACGACCTTTCCGGCCACGGTTGTTAAGTGAATCTGGCTTCCCCATTGACTTTGCTCATCAGAAGGTCGCAAAAGGTAATTACATGAACACACACACACACACACACACCCCAGGACACTGGAAGCATCATGAATACGAGTCAATTGCCAAGTGTGACCAATTTGATCACGTGACCAATTTGATCACGTGACCATGGGGATGCTGCAACGGTGAAGAACAGTCATTTTTCAGTGCCGTTGTAACTTTGAACGGTCACCAAACGAACTGTGGTACGTCGAGGACTACCTGTACTTGGATTCCATCCATTTATTACGGTTGCACCTCTTCCACACTTAGCCTGGTAAAGAGGTTCCTTGAATCAGATGTGTCAGAGCGTGCACCATCTTATTGTGCGAGATAACCCAGGAAGTAAACACAGCAAACAGTGGTCTATATTAAATGGTGGTTCATCTTACACTATCTACCATATCATACACCAGGAACAATATACATGCACCTGCTAATACAGCAGGATCCAACACACCACGGTTACAGCAGGAAATGGAGGAGAGGAGAACACGTTAGCAGAGCCTTCTCTTTTTACCAGGGGTCCCCAACCTATGGTCCGAGGCCCACTGCCGGACCGTGGCCACCAGGCTGCGGGACAGGCTGGCCAGTGCACACATGCATGTGGGCATGTGCGCAGCGCTAGCAGAGGAGGTGGCTAGCGCCTGCGTTCCTGTGCAAACACGTCCATTCGGGTGCGCGGGTTGCATGCCCCATTTGTGCTAGCAGAGGAGGCAGCTAGCACCTCTGCGCCTGCGCAAATGGGGCCCCTAGCACAATGTGGGTTGCGCGGCCTGTTTGCGCATGTGTGCAGCACTAGCAGAGGAAGCTAGTTCCTGTGCGCCTGTGCAAACCGGGCTACTAGCGCCTTGTGGGTGCGCGCAGCCCATTTGCGCGCAGGCAAATTTCACAGCTGCTCCCAGCATGAAAAGGTTGGTGACCTCTGCTTTATACAAAGGCTCTTAAAGAGACACAGACCCTGCTGAGTCATTCCCATTATTCTTACATTACATAAGCTGGTTAGCTGTTAAATCAATACCTTGACAAGATGCCCATCTGACGTCTTGGGACTGCAACTCCCAGAATTCCTAGCCTGAAATTCTAGTGCCCACCCGATTGGAAATGGTTGATTGAAATGCAGCTTGAAATCGAAAGGCGTTCTCTGTAAGGTCGCCCTCGGCATACCGCCCTTCGTTTAGACACTGTTCTAAGTTACAGTGCCGCCATTGAGTAAAGTGACCTGCAACACGCCCTCACACTTACATCCTTCCCAGCATCCCCACGGTCACATGATAAAAATGTGGCAAGCCAAAATGTGTTCACAACGGCTGCAGCGTCCCGGGGTCATGTAATCACCATCCCCGCCGGCTTCCAGCGAGGAAAGTCAATGAGGGAGGAGCCGGATTCGCTTAACAACTGCATGATTCACTTAACAATGCAGCGATTCGCTCAACAGCCACGGCAGTAAAGGTCTAAAATGGGATGCGGTTCACGTAACAACAGCCTTGCTTACCAACGGAAATTCTGGTCCCCGTTGTGGTCGTAAGCCGAGGACTACCTACAGCAGAATTTCTTACAATTGGTGTGAAAAGGGCTTGGAAGACTAATGGCAAGTTTACATTGATATGGCTAGCCCAGGGGTAGGCAACCTTGGCTCTTTTATGACTCGTGGACTTCAACTCCCAGAATTCCTCAGCCAGCATGGCTCAGCTTGGAAACTCTCCCTTTCTCCTCAGCATGGCTGGCTCAGGAATTCTGGGAGCTGAAGTCCACGAGTCATAAAAGAGCCAAGGTTGCCTACCCCTGGGCTAGACAGAAGATTTGAAAGGTCAGAGCAGAGCAGATCTACCTCAACCTCAACCTGAGGTTGCTTGTCTAGTTGACTGAGAACTGGGACAGGTAAAAGAGCTGAAAGAGCTTCTTCGTCTAATTCTGAAATTCATGGTCTTCACTAGCCAGATACCTTTTAATGTCTTTTATTAATCCATGGTGGCGCAGTGGTTAGGATGCAACCTTGCAGGCTAATTCTGCCGACTGCCAGCAGTTCAATTCTCACCGGCTCAAGGTGGACTCAATCTTCCCTCCTTCAGAGGTCGGTAAAATGAGGACCCAGATTGTTGGGGGGGGGGGGCATAGGCTTACTCTGCAAACCGCTTAGAGACGGCTGTAAAGCCCTGTGAAGCGGAATATAGGTGCTATTGCTATTGCTAAGGAAGTTGACTGTCCACCCAGGCATGAAATTAAGACACACGTGCAAATTATGCAGGACTGGACTCTGCTCAGGGATGAAGCAGGAAAAAACAATTTGGCTAAATAAAGGTACTTAAAAGGAAAAGGAAAATAAAATATAGGAATAGTGATTCTCTCTCTCTCTTTTAATATTCCCCAAAATATTTCATTCTCTCTCTCTCTCTCTCTGTTTGTCTCTCTAGCTCTCTTTCTAGCTCTCTATCTCTGTCTCCCTCTGTCTGTCTGTCTGTCTCTTTCTTTCTCTCTCTCTCTCTCTCTCACCATGTCTGTCTCTCTTTCTCTCCCTCCCCTCCCCCTCTATCTCTCTTTATCATCTATCTATCTACCTACCTACCTTACCTACCTATCTTCTACCATCTCCAGGATCTGTCTGTCTGTTTCTCTGCCTATCTGCCTGCCTGCCTGCCTGCCTATCTCCTAGATCTGTTTGTCTGTATCCCTGTCTGCCTGTCTCTGTCTCTGTCTGTCTGTCTCTCTCTCTCTCTCTCTCTCTCTCTCTTTCTGTAACCATGTGATATGTTTAAGATTTGTGCCCCTTTTCTGTTCCCCCTTTAAAGCGCTTATCCTGGAGGAGATTGCAATCGACTGCCACAATAAGGAAACTGAGCAACGGCTACTCCAGGAAGCTCACGACCTGCACCTCTCCTCTCTCCAGCTAGCCAAGAAAGCATTTGGGGAATTCAACGTTCAGACAGCGAAACACTACGGCAACCTTGGCCGACTTTATCAGTCAATGAGGAAATTTAAGGTAAATCCAGCCTTATCGCAGCGGTGGGCGGGAATTTTGCTAACGGGCCTTTTGTCGTAAGAAACAGGTAGTCCGGACCGCTTTCAGTCAAAAACATCACAAATTGCAGTCATCCGGGATGCTGCAAATAGCCATCATTGTGTGGGCCAGTTGCAAAGTGCCCATGATGCAGTAATGTGTTTGCAGGGGGAGCAGTGTGGTAACTTGAAAACTGGGTTCTGAAGCTTTGGCGGGTCCGTCATAACTTCAAATGGTTGCCAAGTGGTCGTAGGTTAAGGACTACCTGTATTTTCTTCCTAATGTATTACTTTGTAATAATATTTGCTAATTAATTTTGTCTTTTTTTTTTTGTATCACCAAAGCTACTAAACTTCATTGTTCACACAACAACTACAGGTTATAAATAAGATCATTGGTTTGATGTTCAGGTTTTCTGCATTCCTTGCCTGTTTGTTGTTGTTTTTTTAATTAAGGAGCATGAAAATAACTTCTACTTCATTTTTATTCTTTCTTTTTTTTAAAAAAAAAATTCATATGATTTTTTTTAAAGGCTCCTAGATAAGAAGACCTGTTAAAATTATGTTAGGATAAGTCAGCTAAACAACCTGCTCAATTACAGGTAGTCCTGGACTTAACAGCTACAATTGAGCCCAAAATTTCTATTGCTCAGTGAGACAGTTGTTAAGTGAGTTTTGCCCCGTTTTACGGCCTTTTTGCCACAGTTCTTAAATGAATCCCTGCAGTTGTTAAATTAGTCACATGGTTGTTAAGTGGATCCGGCTTCCGCATTGACTTTGCTTGCCAGAAGGTCGCAAAAGGGGATCAAATGACCCCGGGACACTTGCAACCGTCATAAATACAAGCATCTGAGTTTTGATCGCATGACCACGAGGATGCTGCTATGGTCGTAAGTGTGAAAAATGATCACAAGTCACTTTTTTCAGTGCCGTTGTGACTTCGACTGCTCGCTAAACGAATGGTTGCAAGTTGAGGACCGCCTCTTTGTAGAACAGTGTTTCTCAACCTTGACAATTTTAAGGCATGTGGACTTCAACTCCCAGAATTCCACAGCCAGCAATGCTGGCTGTGGAATTCTGGGAGTTGAAGTCCACATGCCTTAAAATTGTCAAGGTTGAGAAACACTGATGTAGAAGGAAGGCAGGTGTATCGTTGAAATGGCATTATGGACCCAGCTGTTAAAAAAAAAGTCTTGATTGGAAGAAATAGTAATGGCCATGGGAATTAAGTACACCTACTTCCTTCTCTCCACCTCAGTGCTTAATTTAGACAAGGACCTTTTTCAGCCTCCCCAAGAATAGAATAAAGGTTCACAGACGTTCACAGTCAGAATGGAGCAGATTCAAATTCAGCCACTCCACCACATCTTCCAAATTGCCCCACTCCATCTCAAAATTCTTCGTTCGGCCGATTTCTCAGGTGCCCTCTTGTCTGAAAAGTTTTGAAGCTTGGCTTTTTGTTTTAAGATTTTTTTTAAGAACATTAGCTTGTATTCTCAAGCAGGCAGAGACATGAAAAAAAAATAGCCATTAACGACTCCTGCGTCAGTCAGTACTTGACCATTTTGGCTATTGCAGGAGGCGGAAGAAATGCACATCAAAGCAATTCAGATCAAGGAGCAGCTGCTTGGTCAGGAAGATTACGAAGTCGCTCTTTCGGTGGGACACCTCGCCTCGCTCTACAACTATGACATGAATCAGTACGAAAACGCTGAAAAGCTTTATTTGAGATCCATCGCAATTGGTGGGTCATTTCTTTTAACTGTTCGGGGGAAGGGTGGAGATCGGGGGCCCTGGGAGCTCCTTGACCCTCATTTATAGAAAATTGATAGAGAGACAGACAGGTAGATACTGTATATAGATTGGATGGATGGATGGATGGATGGATGGATGGA